AGTCCCCCCTGGGGCCCTGCTGCCGCCGCCCGCGCCCCCCCCGTCGCCGCGTGGTCTCTGGGACAGCCAGCTGAAGAGAAGGATAAAGACCTTGCAACTATAAGCAACAGAAAGAACCTTTAACTGCCTTAAACCAACTGAGAAATACACTGTAGAGAAGGATTTTATCTACCTATGGACAGTGAGAAGGTGATGGATACCAGCCCTGCATTACCTCAGGCAAGAACAGGAACTACCCTGCCATTGTTAGGGAAGCCAGACACCAGAGGATAAGTCACGCTGCAGACCTCCACAACACCATTCCTTCTAACCACAAGATGGCTGCTGTGCCGCATCAACTGATGGTCAACTCTGCTTGCCAGAACTGCCTTCCGGAGACTGTATTCCATGGAGACTCACCTACAGTTGCGGAACTGCACGAGACCCACACTTGATCCAACCTTGAATGGAATCTATTTTCCCTATTGTTAAAAACTTTGGACTCCTGGCCCCTCTCCCTCTACTCGCAGGTATCGCATTTTCAATGACCCCTCTGGAGGATAGCTGTCTATAGCAGAGATAGAGTAATTGGGAGAGGGGGAAAGGGCTGAGGGTCAAACATAGGATAAAAAACATATTTATATGTATGAAAGTAGAAATGGAACAGTATTGGTGACGACATGCTTGATTAAGACACTATGCAGTTTATCCTAGATGGGAAACTACACTTGGTGTGTTGTGATGATACTCAGGGAATGAGTGTTAGGCAATATAATTTAATATAAAAAAGAAAAAAAAATGCACATTTGATGACTGTAGAGAGTTGTATGGACACAACTGGGGTCTACTTTATAGTATGTTCATTCTACTCCCTGGGGTTTATGCCTAGGATCAGATTTGGATACATGTGTAAGGATATGTCAGCTGTGCTAGCTAGTGGATATATTTGGACTAATTGAATTCATTGGTTGAACAATTGAGGGGGGGGGGCGGAAGGCATTGAGGGCAATCATGAATGTTAGGGACAATGGAGGAGGAAGATGGGGCAGAGGGTGGGGATGGGGAATCTAGGATGGCAAAACAAAAGGCAAGGTATGCAGGACACGGGAATTGGGAAATCATCTGCCGAGAACATGTATGTTGATGTGCTTGATTGAGCCAATGCACAGTGTATTTTGGATGGAAAATTCATATGTGTGTTGTGATGAGAAAAAAAATTTATAATAAGAATAAAAAAAAAATAAAATAAACAGGAACAAAATTACAATAGAGAATGTCAATTCCAAATAAGACTCTACAGGTTCTGCTGCTTCTCCCATCCAGTGTCAGAGATAAAGTCATCATTAGGTGAGAATTTTATTTTTCAAAGTGTCATCTTAAACTGCAAGGATGTAATGGACACTAAAGACAAAGTGGAAAGAGAGTGTGGGAGGGGAAGAGTGTAGGAAAAGAAATTTGGGGGGGAATGAAGAGGTAAGACACTTGTGGGACACAGATAATGTTTATTATCTGTTGACAAGGATGTGTATTATAGTCTCCACAGGGCTGGACTGAGGTGTATGTCATGTTGGGTAAAGTCTCTTCACAATCTAAATGATGTATAGCAATTTAATGTATGAATAATTAAAAATAAATAAATATATAAAAAAATTTTAAAAGAATTAAACATGCCAAATGAGAGACCATTTTGTCAAAATGCCCACTTAACCCACTCAAACATTCTCAAACCCACCCTTTGCTGACATCATTTAACCCCCTTTTGTTAAAGTTTTTCTCTTCATTTTTTAAACAAGAGAAAGTAAGCAGATACATGTTGGTAAATACTAACTGTCCATACTCATATAGAAATGCAGTGTAATCTCTGAACCCAATATACAGAGAAAGAAGGAAAAAAGCTAGAATTCTATTCTCTACTGCACAGGAGCCTAGCCCTCTCCAGCTTCCAGCAGAGCGAAGGAAGCAGAAGGTTTTTCTTTCTTCCCACAGAGCACAGTGGTGGTTGATTACAAAGTTTTTGTTGAAACAGGAAGGAATGAAAATGAATTTTGAACTGAAAAAGGTAGACATTCTTTTCCCATTGCATTCTGCTCAAGGTTTCCTCCCTGAAATAAGTTAATAACCATGGTGTAGAAAAGAGACTTCAAGAACAGGGCAACTGAGCACAAGAGGGGAAACGAAGAAAAAGGAAAAAGAGACTGCAACTTGTTCTTGGGGACTGGAGAAAAAAAAAATTTAAAGGGGGGGGTTGAAATCCATTAGTATTCTGTCAGTCATCTTCTTCTTCATTCTCCTCTCCTTCCCCTTCATCATCATCTTTATCTTCTTCACTTTGATCCTCACCCTCTTGTTCATCAATATCTTCTAATCTGGAGACATCATCATCATCATCATCATCATCATCTTCTTCTTCTAATTCCCCTTCTTATCTTTATCTTCTTCACTTTCATCCTCATCCTCATCAATAACTTCTAATCCCTCTTCTTCTTCTTCTTTTCCTCCTTCTCCTTCTTCTTCTCCGCCTCCTCCTTCCCCTTCTTTATCATTTATATTGGGAACCAAGTAGTATGTAACAGATTTGGCCAAATGTCATCTTTGATGGCATCCCTAATTCACCTGCACCTGCATCAGAATGGTCAGTAAACCAAGTAAAAAAGCTCTTTGGTTCCTCATGCTGCGTCTTCCTGTTGGCTTCATTCTAAGTTTGATTTGAACATTTTGTCAAATCCTTTCCAGATTTCCACTTGATTTTAGTGGACTTTGAGGATGGATTACTACTCTCGTTCAGATGAAATTCTTTGGAGGGCACTTTATTTCCATCAAAATAAAAATTTATTCTGTAAACTGATTTAATAGCTTCAAATTTAGTATCTTCAAATTCCGTCACTTCTAGTCTGGTCAAATAATGCAGCGCCTCTTTGTCCTCCACCCTAAGCAGTAGAGACACTTGTGGATGGTTGACAAAAGTTATTACCCCCAAATTTGGGATTCTGGCAATCAATTCTGAACTCTTCTGGGAAAAAAAATTGGTTGGTGAAGTTTGTTATATTTCTGTTTTACTTTCAAAATCTTCTCACAGGCTTGTTCATTAAGTCTGTTTCATTTTGCACTTCATCCACACGTTCAATTGCTTCTTGTTGCGCTTTCACTAAGGTCTCCTCTGCCGGTCCGTCCTGGTTGGAGTTGAGCTCCTTTTCACTGCCTTTGGCCACTGGCGAGGACATGGTGCTGTTCCACTGTCAGTAGAGGTGGAGGAGGAATGGAGGGGAGAGAGAGAGGATGGCAAACGGGGAGGGCAGGTGGCTTCTCCTCATGCCACAGGCACAGGTGCTCACTTCGTTTGGCAGCCTCCTCCTGGGGCTCGCTCACACGCACAACCTTTGGGGCCTGACAAGGAGACAGAAGCTGAGATGGCTGCCCCGCCCAGCTGGGCTCCTGCTTACTGAGGGGAGGCAGCAGGCACCTGGGACTTGGTTCCCTCACTCTTGCTCCCTGTTCCTGCTGGCAGCTCGCTCTCCCCTAGCAGCTACTTCCTCTTCCTCCTCCTCAGGGCTGTCATGTTTCAGTTTTTAATGAAAAACCTTTTAGGTTTTCTCCATTCAGTATGATGTTAACTATGGATTTGTCCCTTATGGCTTTTATTCTGTTGAGAAATGTCCATTTTATGTTGATTTCCATGAGGGTCTTAATGAATAAATGCTGTGTTTTATCAAATGTTTGTTCTGCAACTATTGTTATGATCACATTTTTTCTTTTATTTTGTTAATGTTATATATTACACTTGTTTTGTGTAGTTCAACCACTCTTGCATCCCTAGAATAAAGCCTTCCTGGTCATGTTTGTATATTCTTTTTAATATGTCATTGGATACTATTTGCTAATATCTTATTAAGAATGTTTGCATCTGTATTCATCTGGGATATTGGTCTGCAGTTTTCTTTTTGTTACATCCTTGTCTGTTTGGGGGATGAGGATGATGGAGGCTTCATAGAATAAATTTTTCAAAGTTCCTTCCTTACAGATCTTTAGAAATAGTTTAAGTAGAATTGGGATTAGGTCTTTGAAAGTTTTGTAGAATTCAGAATGAAAACCATCATGGTTTTCTTTGCTGAGAGACTATTTATTACTGGTTCAATGTCATGGCTTATTAAAGGTCTAGTCAGGGTTTCTACATCTTATTGATTCAATCTTGGTAGATTATGTCAACAGAAAAATAACCAACTGTAAAAATTAGTAATTAATAATTAATGTGGTTTATTTCCAAGCCAAACATGAGTGACCTAGACCCGGAGAAGAGGCATACATGCCTTTCTCAGGGTGATTACATATAGGGGTTCCTTTTATTTCTTTTTCTTTTTTTTTTTTTTGGAGAGGTTTTCACTATAGGGCGCGTGCGCTCACCAGACAGAGAGAGACATAGAGACAGAAAGCAAGAAATCACCCCCCAGAGGGGATGGTCACGCCACAATCCCTTCTCCTCCATTCTCCTCTTGGGATCTTGGGCACTCATGCACATGCGCCTGGCATGAGTTTTAAGCCACCGGGTCTGGGACACGAACCACGGTTGACTACATGAGAGTCCAGCGACATAGCCATTACGCTAACTGCTGGTTCCCCCCTTTTATTTCTTTTTGAGATTGACAGACAAAATTTAGAGAAGAGATTTTCCATTGGCCTAGCCCAGAAAGGTGGGTCAGGTGGAAGCAGGGGCTTGTAGGTTATAGTTGGGTTCCACAATTCTTAGGTTGGTGATTGGAAGGGAAGATCTGTGTCTTGGAAAGAGATTAGTTAAAGTAAGTCTTAATCTATATCTCAAGGAAAGGGAAGTTCTGTGTCTTGGGAAGAGATAAACAAAAGAATACACTGTAATCCATTGGAATACACATCTCAAAGATATTATGCCAGGGACAAGATGTAGGAAGAATCCTTATAATGGAGAATAAATGGTCTATTAATGTTTGTGGACATGACTTCCCCAGTCCCTTTTGAAAAGATTTTGGAAAATAGGAAAAGTAGTCAGACTTCTGTCCACAATTACATGTGCCCAGAAATTTGTCCAGTTCACCTTCATTTTCTTGTTTGCTTGTAGTATTCTCTCATGGTCTTTTGTATCCCCAATGTTATTTCCTTCTGCTTAGATGGTTTTGGACTCATTACACATACATGCTGTCCTTTCTGTTCACCATTGAGGAGATCAACAGGAATCCCCATCTGCTTCCCAATATTTCCCTGGGTTCTGATATCTATAATGCCTTTCCTAGTGAACAAAATACAATGGAGAATGCTCTGTTTTTGCTCTCTGGAGGGAATCAGGGTTTTTCTAACTACAACTGCCAGACACAGAACCAATCTGTTGCTATAATTGTGGGAACAGCATCAGATTATTCAGTGCAGATTGGAAGTCTTTTGGAGCTCTACAAAATGCCTCAGGTAAATGGATTGTAAATTCTGGGGGGAAATGTTTGGATCTCTCTTAGCACTATTCTCTCACTTATTACAACAAGTGTGGAGTTTGTGTTTATACATCATTTAAGATTATAATCAGGTTCTAGGGAATTATATGCATTGTGATATTATTTACAGTGTCCAGGATGAAGAGGAAGGCAAGTAGTAGATACCGTGAGTCTCAACCCAGATTCATGTCCTTGACAAATAAATGTATGCCACAACTGCAGAGAATAATGATGGCTGACATCTCATAGTTGTGTGCTCAAGGACCCTATCCACAGTATAGAAATCTGCCCTGATCTTGTTATAGTCTACTCAGCGAAAAATAAGAGGACATCTAGACATAGCCAAATTTATTGGAGTTTATTGATTAAGCCGGTGGCATACAGGGGAGACTCATGTCTCTCAAAACCCCACAGCCCTGAGTGCAAGGTGAAGGGTGCTTATAAAGGCAAAATATGCACAGTCATGTCTGGGATGACATGATGATTCAGAGGGTAAGGTGCAGTGGGCTTGAATGGGGGAAAAGAGTAGGGGTAGGGTTTTACAACAGTAAAAGCAAGGCTAGCAAAAGCACATTAGGGAAGCAGAAAAAAAGTATCCCTAAGGGTATGTTTTATCTCTATCTAAATACAATGGAATCTTAATAGTCTTGATGGCTCAGGGTAATGTCCAGTGACTAGGCTTTATCTTAAGGTACCTAGGAGAAGTGGGGTTTTAAGGACAATAGAAATGTTAATCACTCTATTTACTCTCAGACAAAAGTGGAGAGGACAGGTTTCCAGTCACAGGAATTTAACAGTTTATAATGGAGGCGCTCCTCCAAGATGGAGTCGCTCCTGCTTCATTCCCCACTTCTCTTGGAGGCGCTCCTCCAAGATGGAGTTCTGCCTGCTTCAATCTGATATAACATTTTCAGGACAAAGACTGTGGGATATTAAAATATAAAGACCTAGACATCTGGTCTCCATTTGTAAAAATGCAAAGGAACTATTCCAGCTTTTGAGATCCCAAGAAATAATGCTTTCTCAGTAATGTTCAGTGTAGTTTACTTACTCCTCTGTCCAGCGTAATCTTAATCACAATGAGGCATTCTCTTTAAAGGACTCCAAGTAAAGTTTCCATATATACCTCTCAGATTCTCTGAAGGGAAAGCATCTAACACAAGCATAATTAGAGATTTTCTTAAGGGAAAGCAGCTAATACAAGCAGCAATTAGGAGGCATTGCTGCCAATCATAGAAGGCATTCACTTTGGAGAATTCTGTTCTAAATCAATCATATTTTGGAGAATCACAAGGGGTAAGTGATTTGGGTATTCAAGAAAGATTAGTTTATGTGTGATATTAAATTAAGCCCAAAGTGTCAAGAGATTGGTACAATAAAGATATATTTTATCATCAAGTTCATTTCCTTAATTGATTGCTGCAGTAGATAGCCTGAGCTCCATAATTTCATAAGCGATGGCAATAAAATAACTACCCTACTGATGATGCACTGTCTTCATGATGTTTGTGTTTTCTTTAGTTTCCACTGCAAAAAAGGACTTTCCTATTACCCTTACACATTTTCTTGGATGTCTGTAATACCATTAATCAGAACTCATCACTTGTTTGTTCCTAAAAGCAATGTGTCTGCAAAACAAGAACTTGGTTATCTTTTACAGTACTTTTCCCTCTTCATTCAATATTCCTTTTCATGTGGTCTCAGGTCACATATGGTCCCTTTGATCCTGTCCTAAGTGATAAAGAACAGTTTCCATCACTTTATCAGATGGCCCCCAAAGATGGCCCTGTGATCTATGGAATCATCTGGTTGTTATTGCATTTTGGCTGGACATGGGTAGCAGTCTTTGCATCTTCTGACATGAAAGGAATGCAGTTCCTTCAGGATCTAAAAGATGAGATGTTGAAGAAAGATATCTGTGTGGCCTTTACAAAAACCCTCCCTGCTGCTACAGGCCTTTATAGTATAATTGATACACATTTTGTTATTCAAATGCAGTTTCATTATTCAAATGCAGTTTCATCTGCAAATGTATACATACTATTTGGTGATCTAGGGAGTTTCGTGACCTTGCACTTTGTGGAAGGATTCTACTTAATCTCAGGGAAAGTGTGGATAGTTGGAAATCCCTATTCCGCACAGTGGAAGTTAGTTTTCTCTTATTTCAGTAAAATGCTTCACTCTTTTCATGGAAGCCTCTCATTTGCAAACAAGAAGAAGACAATTCCTGGCTTCAAACAATTTCTTGAGACACTTAAGCCTTACCAATATGCAGGGGACTTTTACTTCACTAAATTCTGGATTGATATTTTTGAATGCTCATTTGCTGGGTCACTATGTGATAAAATTGGAGATTGCCCACCAAATTCTTCCTTAAAGTTTTGGACAAATTTTGACATGATGACAACATCTTATTTTAGCTATTTTATCTATAATGCTGTGCATGCAGTGGCTCAAGTCCTCCATAAAATGCTTTTAGAGAAAATAGAAGTGAGATCTCCAGAAGATGCAGACCATGTTATACTTCTCCCCTGGCAGGTTAGTGTCCTCCAAAAATATAAAGTGTATCTAGTACCAAATGGCATTTGGAGGTATTTTACTGAGACAGAAACAATATTGTGACGAGGTATTCACCTGAAGATCAACAGGATTAGGCAACAAGAAAGGAGTTATTTCAATAGTTGGAGGGAGGTGTAGATATATCTGTAATTGTCATATCTTTTTGGATAATTGTATCGTAGGGATCTTGTGTTTCAATCTGTTCAATTAGAATTTGTACCAGAAGAAATATTTTGTAACATAGAATGAAATATGGTAAAATATCTCAAAATGACTAATGATAAAACATGGGGAGGAAAAATTTGATAACATATATATTTTTCCTGGGAATGTATCCAGTGTCAGAAAATGTTGACATAATGACCATATCAGACTCTAGTTATTTTTTTAGTGATAGATATGCTGTATTCCAAGCTCTTTGTGTAATGCTTTTGGCAACATTGAAATGCATTCTGCATAACATACCTGAATGATTTTAGGACCTGAATTGTTTTCGGACATAGGTATACTTAGAGAATATGCAACAATTATGAATGCAATGATTTTATTTTGAAATATGAGAATACCCCTGGTGCATATAGCTCAGTATGTGCTACTTAGTTTGTAAATAACTTCATGTATAATTTAAACTAATGTTATCTGTATTTAGAACTCATGTATGGAATGTATTTAAGAACATTCCTTATATACAAGAGATAAACATAATGATTATATTTGTTGAATAAATAAAAATATTTAACATCTAGACCCAACAAATAAAGAAATGTAAAAAATATTAGAGATTTTATTTACAATCCAATTGTCGTTCATACTAACAACAACGATATTTTATACGCACTTTGAGGTTCTTTAAATTTGATTTTTGTTATTTAGATGTTTTTCTTTATATTTGATTTTATATTTTTAAATTTATATTTCATTCTCAAAACTTTATGGTATTAAATATGGTTTTTCCAAAATATGCATGCAGTGTGTATTAATCAAATTAGGGACATCACTATATGTATCAATTTCCAAAAAGAACCTTACTTTCTTGTGTCTGCTAAATGTGTTGCTGAGGCTCTCCCTTCCACTGCTCACAAAACGTCCTCCTCCAGTTCAGTCTCTGGGATCTATGCTTGTCTTCCCTTCCAGTACATCTTCAAATTCTTCAATTTCTGCCATGTAGTGTAGACATTTAATATATAATGATCAGGTATACAGCATGTTTTAAAATCTTTATTTATTTATATTTACATTTAATCATTGTACATTTTTATAGCTTAGGGTATGGTTTTCTTCAAAGTATGCATGCAGTGCATGTCAATTAACTCAAAAATAGTAGCATCTATATAATTTTCAACAGATTTTACGTTCTTGTGTCTGTTACATTTTTTTCCAAGAGCCCCTCCCTCACATCCTTACTATCCACCCCCTCTTTACAGTCTCTGGTATCTGCATTGTCCTCCCTGTTGTATTTTGAATATTTAAATTTGTCTTTCATAAACTGGTTTATTTCACTTAGCATTAAATCTTCTATTTTTCAATTTATTTTTTCTTATTTTTTACATTTAATCACTGTATATCTTCACAACATTGAATCTATATCATAATGAATGACAGAGTCTTGTTGTTCTTAATGACTATTATTTCATTACTATACTATATTACCTATATAACAAATGTGGTATATTTGTGCCACATCTTAAACCTAATCATCAATTGTTTGGCATTTAGATTGATTCCACAACTTAGCATCTGTGCATAACGCTGCTATAAACATGGATGTGTAGGTGCCTTTCAAATGAGTGTTTTCTTGTGTGTCGGTAAATACCCAAGAACTGGATTACTGAGTCAGATAATAATTCTATTTTTAAAATTTAAGGAACCTACATATACTTCTATATAGTGGCTGCACTAATTTACATTTCCACTGGTAGTGCAACATGTTTCCCTTTTCACCAGTCTCATCACCACTTCTTTGTTTTTGTTATAATCATTATGACTAGGGTTAAGAGATAGCTCATTGTGGTTTCAATGTGCATTTTTCTTATAAAAAGGTATACTGCCTGGCAGCCTGGGCTCATCCCACCCACCAAGAAACTCAGGCCTGGTCTTGATAGGACTCCTCTCATGAGTGTACCCCTAGGCCCTGGGAGTAACTTTGGAACTTTTGCTCTTTCATTGCCTGGGTTCTCCCTGCCCACCAGAGACTTAGGCCTAATCTTCATGAACCTCCTGTCATGAGTGCACCCCTAGGCCCCAGGAGCAACTTTGAAACTTTTGCCACTGTGACGCCCAGTGCTCTGGTGGCCTGGGTTCGCCCTACCCATTGTGAGACTCAGGCCTTGTCTCAGGAGGCCTTCTCTCATGAGTGCACCCCTAGGTCCTGGGAATAACTTGAAATTTTTGCCATTTCATCACCTCTCACCACTGGCAGCCTGGGCTCTCCCCACTCACTGGGAGATTCATGCCTAATTGCAGCAGGCCTCTTCTCATGAGTGTACCCTCAGCCCTAGGGAGCAACTTTGGAGCTTTTGTCACGCCAACTGTGCTTTGATCCTATTCACTAAGTTGTATCTCTTTAGCTTGTTACCATCTCCTTAAGAGCTTATAGTTTGGTAGAGGAGTCAAGTACTTGAAGGTACCCATAACTTCTCTAATCTGGGAGACACAGCCTTCCAATAGGAATACACCTGAGAACTAAGGATTAAATTTCCTCTTCCAAAACTACAGAATCTCCTCTAATAAAGAGGAAAAAGTGAATACTGCATCAGGTGTCCAAAAATCAGCACAGATCTCTAAGAAATATGAGAAAACAATGGGTAACTCTCCCTCAGGTGAGTGCAGTAGCCCCTCACCAGCAATGGACAGCACAGAGGAATATACAGAAATGTCAGAAAAAGAATTCTGAATATCCACAGTGACCAGTCAGTGAGATGAAAGAGAAAACAATCAGTCTCAGGAAATGAGAAATTTCAGGACATGAAAGAGGAATTTTATAAAGAAATAAGTAACCTAGAAAAGACTCAAACAGAACTTCTGGAAATGAAGAATACAATACAACAAAATAAAATATCCCTAGAAAGCATTAACAGCAGATTGGATAATTCAGAAGAAAGAGCTTATGACCTTGAAAACAAAGTCTCCAATATAGACCAAACCACCAAAAAGAATGAAAAAAAATTATGAGGATAACATATGGGAAATTTTAGAGATCACAAAATGCCCAAAGAGCCATGTAATGGATATTCTGGTAAAGAATCTGCTAAAGGCATGGAAAATCTCTTCCATGAAATACTATCTGAAAACTGTCTAACTATAGAAAATCATGAAGAAATTCAGACCCAAGAAATAAAAAGGACCCCAAATAGAATCAACAACAACAACAACAAAAATTCCTTCAACCAGCACATCATAGCCAGATTGGTAAAAATCAAAGACAGAGACAATATTATAAAAATGGCAAGACAGAAATGTCAAGTTGTTTATAAAGGTTAAGCCATTATGCTAACATCACACCTCTCAACTGAAACAATACTGACAAGGGAATATGTATTTAAAACATTAAAAGAAAAACAATTTCAACCAGGAATACTATATTCAGCAAGATTGTACTTCAAAGGGGAAGAACAAATAAGTCTTTTCGGATAAACAAAAACTGAAAGAATTTGCCAATACTAGTCTAGGTGTACTGAAAGTAGTGAGGGGAGCAATGTACCAAGATAACTAAAGAGAGACAAGCAGAAATAAGAGAACAAAAAACAACTGAAAAATGGCTATCAAAATGATGGATAAGTCTGCAATTATCAATAATAACATTGAATGTTAATGGATTAAATTCTCCCATTAAAAGATACAGCCTGGCTAATTGGATACAAGAACAGAAGCTATCTATATGCAGCTTGCAAGAAACACACCTCACTGATAAGGACATACACAGACTGAAAGTGAAGGCCTAGAAAAAGATACTTCATGGAAATGGAAACCAATAAAAGACTGGAATTGTGATAGTGATGTCAGACAAAATAGACTTTAAGGTGAAAGATGTAAGAAGAGACAAAGAAGGACATTATATAGTACTAAAAGGACTTATTCACCAAGATGATATAATACTTGTAAATATAAATGCACCTAACAATGGAGCACCTAAATACATCAGAGACTGCTAGATCTCAAGGAAGAGCTATATTGCAACACAGTAATCATTGGGGATCTCAACACCCCACTGTCTCCTCTGTATAGATTATCTAGAGAAAAAATAAACAAAGAGATTCAAGATTTAAATGATACCATAAATGGACTTGACAGACATCTACAGAGTATTTCACCCCACTACCATAAAATATACATTTTTTTCACACCCATATGGAACATTTTTGAAGACTGATCAGACAATAGGACACAAAACAAGCCTTTACAAAATTGAAGGTATAGAAACAATATCCAGCATCTTTTTCAATCACAATAAACTCAAACTTGAAATCTACTATAGAAAGAGTCCTTACAAGTACACAAACATAGGGAAATTACACAACAAACTCCTGAATGAATTTATAATTACAGAAGAAATTAAGAATAAAATCAAAAGTTCATAGAAATCAATGATACTGGACAAACTAGTGTTTATAATCTATGGAGCACAGTAAAAGCAGTTATCAGAGAGAAGTTCATAGCAATTAGCACCCACACAAAAACCCAGAAAAGTTGCAGATAAACAACCTAACAACACAATTCTGGGTACTGACAAAACAAACAAACAAACAAAAACAAGAAATTCCAGGGGAAAAGATGTAATAAAGATTTGAGCAGAAATAAATGAAATAGAGAATAAAAGAGCCATGCAGAAAATAAACAAAATGAAAAGCTGATTCTTTGAGATGATAACAGAATTAACACACTGTTAGCTAGAATAATCAAGCAGAACATAAAAAGGAACCAGACAGATCAAATCAGCAAATAAACAGTTATCACAATGGACAAAACAAATACAAACTATCATCAGAGAATACTATGAGTGATTATATTCTAAGAAACTAGAAAACCTAGAGTAGATTTTAAAAATTTCTGGACATGTATAACTTACCAAGATTGAACCAGGAAGAAATAGAAAGTATGAATATACCCCCAACAAGCAATGAGATTGAATGAATAATAAATAATCTCCCAAGGTTCCAATGACTTTACCTCTGAATTCAACAAAGCTTTTAAAGCAGACCTAATCCTAATTCTCCTCAAACTATTTCTATAAATTGGAAGGAAGGAGCCCTCCAAAATTTATTCTATGATGACTTCATCTTAATTTCAAAATCAAACAAGGACATGGCAAAAAAAGAAAACTTGAGGTGAATATCCCTGATGAATATGGATGGAAATATTCTCAACAAGATACTATCAAATCATATTCAACAACATATTAAAAGATTGTGCATGATAACCAAGTGGGCTTTTATTCCAGGTATGCAAGATGGTTCAACATATGCAAAAAATAAGTATAATAAGTCAGATTAACAAAAGGAAAGATAAAAACACATGATTATATCAATTGATGTAGAAAAAACATTTGATAAAATATGACATTCCTTTATGAGTAATCCTCTCAGCCAAATAGACATAGAAGGGACATTCCTCAATACAATAAAAGCCATCTATGACAAACTCATAGCTAACATCAAATTGAAAAGCTGAAAGCTCTTTCAGTAAAGAACATGACAAGGCTGCCCCCATTCTCCACTCCTTTTTAACATAGTACTGGAAGTTTTAGTCAATGCAATTAGGAAAGAGAGTCAAATAAAAGTCATCCAAATGGGAAACATGAAATTATTTTTATTTGCAGATGATATTATGTTGATATACATAGAGAATTCAAAAGAATACACACACACACACACACACACACACACACACACACACACACACACACACACACCTCCTAGAAGTGATAAATGAATATGGTAAAGTGGTAGGATACTAAGTCTACATACAAAATCTAAAGCATTTTTATACACCAGCAATGGACAAACTGAGACAGAATTGAAGAAAGAAATCCCATTTACAATGACTATAAAACCAATAAGATATCTAGGGAAAAAAACCTTATCAAACATGTCAAAATTCTCTACAAGGAAAACTATGAAACACTTGAAAAAGAAATTTAAAAAATGATACAAAAACTTGGAAAAACATTCCATGTTTCTGGATTGGAAGTATTAATATAATCAAAATGACAGTCCTACTCAAATTAATATACAAATTCAAAGCAATTACAATAAAACTACCATTGATATTCCTCACAAAAAATAGAAAAAAAATCATAAAATATACCTGGAATCATAAAAAGCCCAGCATTGTCAAAGAAATACCATGCAAGGGGACAAAAAGGAGGCATCTCTCCTCCTGACCTCAAAACATATTACATAGATGTGATAATCAAAACAGCATGGTATTGGCACAGAAACAGACAGGTAGACCAACAGAACAGAATTGATAACCCCAAGTATACCCTAAAACATACAGCCAACTGATCCTTGACAAAGGGCACAATACGATCCAGTGAGAAAAAGAAAATCTCTTCAGCAAATGGTGTTGAGAGAACTGGATATTAATCTGCAGAAGAATGAAACTAGACCCCCTTCTCTTACCATCAACAAAACTAAATTCAAAATGTATTGAGCATCTAAACATAAAACCTCAAACTATAAAAATACTGGTGGAAAACACAGGGAAAACTCTTGGAGACCTTGGAGTAGCAGAGACTTCCCAAAGAACAGGCAATAGTTACAAAAACAGATAAATGGGACTATATTAGGCTGAGAAGCTTCTGGAAGCAAAAGAAAAAATAATTAGAATGAGAAGAAAAACCCTCAGAATCAGAGAATATATTTGTAAACTATACCTCAGATAAGGGACTGATAACCAGAATATACAGTGAACACAAGCACCTTACCAACAAAACAAAATCAATCCAATTACAAGATGGGAACATGAGCTGAACAAACAACTCTTCAAAGATGACATACAAAAGGCCAAAAAGCATATGAAAACATGTTTGACATCTCTTTTTTTAATTTTCTTGTCATATTTATTAGTATTTTGCTTGACAGTACAGTATAGTTTTCCAATTCAGTTTTTTAAAAAGAATTATTTAATTTTATTTATTTATTATTTTAAAAATTTATTTATTTTACATTCATTGAACATCATCACAGCATACAAAATGTGATTTCACATTCAGAATACGCTGTATAGTGGGTTACACCCACACTGTCTCTGGTATCTACAAATGCTTTCCATTTCTTTCCCCCCCCCAAGTTTTGTTGATTCACAAAATATCTTAATTAATCTAACTATTTTCAATAGCAAATTCAGCTGATATATAGATATATATAGTATATTCATTCTACCCACAGAGTTTCTGCCTAAAGTCAGACTTGTGTTCACAGGTATTTATATATCAGCTGAACTTGCTATTGAAAGTAGTTAGATGTTGTACATTGGAAAAACATATAGTGATTAAATGTAAAATTTTTTAAAAATTAAAAATGTAGAAAATACTTATTTGAATTTCAGTTGGACTCTGCTCTTAAAAAGATATTAAACTTTTTTATATAAGCTTTTTGGCTATTTGTATGTCTTTCTTTGAAAGTTGCTTGTTAAGCTCATTTGTCTTTTGTTTTTCCTTTGCTATAGGGCACATGCCCTCACCAGAGAGAGAAAAGGAAAAAGACAGACAGAGAGAGAGAAGGTGAGATATCACCCCTAGGTAGGAATGGTCATGCTGCAATCCCTTCTCCTTCAGTCTACTGTCAAGATTTCAAACATGCACTCACATGTGTCCAGCATGATTTTCAAGACACCAAGTCTGGAACTTGAACTGCACAATCAGCTATGTGGGATCCAGTGCCTTAACCACCTTACCACCTGTTGTCCCCATTTACTCATTTTTTAGAGGTTTTTGCTATAGGGTGAGTGCACTCTCCAGAGACAGAGAGAGAAGGAAAGTGAGAAATCATCCCCTGGGTGATGGTCTCACTGCAATTACTTCTCCTTCAGTCTCCTCTCAGGATTTTGGGCATGCATGCACACATGTCTGGCATGATTTTTCAAGCCATTGTGTCAGAGGCTTAATTCCAATACATACTATTTTTCAGGATTTTAATCACAACTCACACCTAAGTCATCCTCTAGTAAATATCCTAAAATTTCTCAAATATGATGCATTTATTCTCCCATAATTTTTATAGAAAAAGTAGTATTTGTCTTACTTGAGTTTCTAGGATGAGGACTACCCAAAGCTAAGTGTCTTCTAAAAAGAAAACTAGAGGGGGGCCCACAGGTGGCATGGTGGTTAAAGTGCTGGACACTCCCACATGGTCAATCACGGTTCAATTGCTGGATCTGGTGGCTTGCTTGTTTGCTTTCTCACTTTCCCTATCTCTCTCTCTCTCTCTCTCTCTCTCTCTGTGTGTGTGTGTGTCTCTCTCTAGTCAAATTAAAAATAAATGAATGAATAAATAATATTTTAAAAAAAGAAGAGGGTAAGGAGGTACAAAAAAGAATTAGAAGATAAGTATAAACTTTTTCTTCTACTTTGAGTATACTCCTTATCTCCACATTATGCCTCTCCTCCAGCTTCACCCATTTCTAAGAAAAAGTCAATTTACAAACAGCGAAGGGGACTACATGTCGTTTGATGATAAAAAACATATGGCACAGTATGATATCCTGAACCTTGTGAAGATTTCTAATGTCAGTTGGATGCTGGTTAAAATAGGAGAATTTGTCTCCCAGAGTCCAGATAATCAAGGCATGGCTATCAATAATGAGACAATAAAATGGCCTGCTACATTCAAAAAGGTATGATATAATTGCAGAATTGGCTAAATAGAGAGGTATCTCAATAGAGGCCTAAAATGAGATTACGTGTTCCATTTACCTCAGCAGTAAATTCTCGCTTTCACAACTTTGACATTGTGCTTTGTAATCTTGCTTATTATAGCTACTGCTAGATTGCTATAATCTGTTGCCTTTTTAATGTGTGTATATATATTCTGTCTGTTCTGGAGGTAATATTTTAAAAAGTCAATGAATATACATATACACACACACATATGTACCTATGTATATATACAATTACCCATTGCTTTTCAAGAAGAAAATGTACTGAAAAATGCATGGTTAATCAATTCCATCATAGTTTGAACACCATAGTGTGATTACTCAGGTAGTATAGGCTATTACACACCTATGCTGTACAGTCTAGTCTATTATAATCTATGAGAGCACTATCATATAAGAAGTTTCTCATCATTATGAAGTACATAAAAATGAGTATGACGGAACCGGCAAATGGCATAATGGCTATGTCACTAGATCCCCCACATAGTCAATAGTCCCAAGTCTGGTAGCTTGAAGCTCATGCTGGGCACATTGTGTGCCTAAAAGCCCGAAAGGAAAATAAAGGAGAAGAGATTGAGGCATGGCCATCCCCCTTGAGGGGTGATTTCTTGCTTTTTGGTCTCTCTGGAGAGTACCTGGACCCTAGAGCTTAAAGCTCTCTAAAAAGAAAAGTGTGTGTGTATATAAGTATTAATATATAAAAGCATATACATATATTATCCATATTATGTGTATATATTATGTATATTATATACATATACTTGTATATAATGTCTTTATGTATGTAAAAATATACATATACACACATAATATGAATAAAATATGTACATATTATATATACATATAGAAGTATATATACATACTTTATAAATATGCATACATACTAAAATATGTATACATACTAAAATATATAATATGTATGTATAATATGAGATATAGAAGTATATATACACTTTATCAATATATATATATACCAAAAAATATATATGTATATATACATATATATAAATGTATAAATATATAAGTATATATAATGCAAATATACATACATATACATACTATATATATACATATTTTGTGTATTTAATATGTATAATATATTTGTGTATTATATACTTATATACGTACATATATTATATGTATTTTTAATATGTATATGTATTTATAAAGTATGTATATATACTTGCATATATATACACATATATATTTTTGTATATATACTTTTATGTATACATACATATGTCAAATATACATACACATATCAATATATGTATATGCAATATGTATATAGGTACACATATGTATTGTATATATGTGTATAAATATAAAAGTATATATACACGTACATATATAAAATACACATACCTATATATTTTATATATATAAAATGTTTATATTTATACATATGCTTGTATATATGTGTGTGTTTGTAAATATATATGTATATATAAGTATAAAATCATATATATATATTTGTAATAGAGAGTGTGCACTCACTGGAGAGAGATAGAGAGAGGGAAAGTGAGAACTCGCTCCCCAGAGGGATGTTCACATTTCAATCCTGTCTCCTTTATTCTCCTAGGATTTGGGGCACACCCACACACATGCACCTTGTGTGATTTTTTTCAAGCCACCAGGTTCAGGACTCAAACCACATTTAGTCATGTGGGTGTTAAGCATCTTAACCACAGTGCCACCTACTGGTCTTATGTATTTATTTATTTATTTATTTATTTATTTAATTACTTATTTAAACACAGGGTTTTATATATCCTGAAATCTGAAATCCTTAACCATATCTAATCAGATAACTTACTTTAACTAGATATACTGTAAATACAAGTTAATTAGGTACTGGTGCCATTCACCTCTTATAGATCTCATTTACATTATCCTTATTTATTTGGCATACCACTTTGTAATCAACTCTTGTTCTCCTTGGGTTCATAAAACAATTGACCATAATTTTATTTAAATTTTCCACAGTTGGACAATTCAAAGCAATTAGATATGTGATTTATTTAGGAAGAATACTTTTTTGGGGGGGAGAGGTTTTTTTTGCCATAGGGCACGTGTGCTCGCCAGAGACAGAGAGACAGAGAGACAGAAAGTGAGAAATCACCCACCATGGGATACATTCTCCTCTATTCTCCTCTTGGGATCTTGGGCACACACACACATGTGCCTGGCATGAGTTTTACGCCACCAGGTCCGGGACTCAAACCATGAGCGACTACATGGGAGTCCAGAGACATAGCCATTACACTAACTGCTGGTCCCAAGAATGCTTTTGTTTAGAGGCCAGCACTTGGCTTAGTGGTTAAGTAACCTGGATTTTATATAACTGACAACATAGTTCAAATCTGGACCTGATGGCTTGAGAACACTGAGCATGTGTGTATGCCTGTCCAAAATTCTAAAGGAGGCAAGACTGGAGGATAATGGATTGCAGCATGACCATACCCCATGAGGGATGCTTTATCATTTTCCCTCTCTCTCTTTCTCTTTCTAGAGAGAACACACACCCTGTGGAAAATTCCAAAATAGAATCATGCTTTTCACCCTGTATATGTTTAAAGTTTTTTTGAGAAATTTTTGCTATAGGCCATGTGCACTTACCAGAAAGACAGAGAGACAGAAAGTGGGAAATCACCCCCCAGGTGTGTTGGCAACACTACAATCCCTTCTCCATTCTCCTCTCAGAATTTTGGGCACCTATGCACGTGGCATGAGTTTAAGCCACCAGGTATAGGACTTGAACCACAGTCAACTATGTGGGGATTCAGCAACATAACCATTATGTCATCTGCCAGTCCCCATATGTTTAAGACAATTAAAACAATTCATCACCTGGACTAAAAAGCTCAAAATAGTACTAGCCGCAACCCATGGTTTATAATGTAGTTATTGTTTCTCTTTGTCATTTATTTCCTTAAGTTTGTTATTTTTGTTAGGATGCCTACTTCTCTTGGCATTATAGTATTTTATGTAGAACTTAAAATCTTCTACCGAACCAGTTTTGAGTGCATTGTAAAAATATGCTCTGGCCAGAAGTTGTCAGATTATTACCACAAAGAAACCTGCATTTAAATTTATTGATAAAATGCTGAGATATGAGTAGAAAAAAATCCTGGAGCTGTTAGTATTGTCTACAATAACAGTAACCAAATATAATGATAACATTGGTAACCAGTTTAAGAATAAAAAAGCCAACCATACTAGCCCATAATTAGAAATCTAAGTATTATCAACATGGTAAAATTGGGGACAGATATAGTGATGACCTTTTACTGAAGGTCAAACATGTCCTGCTAAAACTGCTAATGAAGTGCAAAATTATGACTAATGATTCTTTTTCCTCCTTAGACTCCCCAATCTGTGTGTAGCCAGAGCTGTGCTCCTGGATTCTGGAAAATTCCACAAGAAGGACAGCCTGCCTGCTGCTTTATGTGTGATTTGTGCCCAGATGGACACTATTCTAATCAGACAAGTAGAAACATATTTAACTATTCTGTGATCTCTCTGCCTCCTACTTTTCAATTTAAAAAAAGTAGAAGAAAATACACATGATGTCAATGGGAACTTCAGCAATATTCTCAACTATTTAATGTCTCTTAATTTACCCATTTTGTTTCCATATTGCTATGTGTAAGCTCTTGACTCCATGTCCTTATCATGTTAGACTCAATAGTGGCACTGATTTGAATGAACACTTTCTTTTACCATCCAATAATAAGTCATAGTCTTAATCTAAGATATCATAATGAACACAGTGAATCATGAAAACTCTGACCATGAACTAAATCATCAAGATTACCTATATACTTTAGGCTTGAAAAAAATACTGTTTCATACCAGTTGGTAACCTCAGAGCAAGTACATATAAGTCGTTTCTGAAATTTTTTATTATTTTTATGCCATGTCTTAAACAATGTACAACATATTAATTTCATATAATTAGCCAATACAAGAACTATCCCCATTTAAATACTATAATATTGTAGGGAATTCTATTCCCTTAATCTCCACACCACTGACAGGCTCAACTGAAATATTTATTTTTCTTTCCTTTTATTTTTTCCATTACAACTTGTTTTTATTTTACATTTTTCCACAAACATTTACTTTACATATCATGAAAACTCTGACCATGAACTAAATCATCAAGATTACCTATATACTTTAGGCTTGAAAAAAATACTGTTTCATACCAGTTGGTAACCTCAGAGCAAGTACATATAAGTCGTTTCTGAAATTTTTTATTATTTTTATGCCATGTCTTAAACAATGTACAACATATTAATTTCATATAATTAGCCAATACAAGAACTATCCCCATTTAAATACTATAATATTGTAGGGAATCCTATTCCCTTCATCTCCACACCACTGACAGGCTCAACTGAACTATTTATTTTTCTTTTCTTTTTCTCTTTTGTTTGCTATAGGGTGCATAGAGTTGCTGGAGAGAGAAAAAAAGGGAGAGAGAGAGGAAGAAAGCAACTCCCAGGAGGAATGGCAATGTTGCAATTCCTTCTCCTCTATGCTCTCAGGTTTGGGGCATACATGCACATGCACCCAGCATTTTTTTTGAGAGGTTTTTGCTATAGGGAGCGTGCACTCACCAGAAAGAGAGAGACGGAGAGTGAGAAATCACCCCCTGGGGGGATGGCCATGCTGCAATCCCTTCTCCATTCTCCTCTCGGGATCTTGGGCATGCACTCACACATGCCTGGCATGAGTTTAAGCCACCAGGTCCTGGACTCGAATCACCATCGGCTATATGGAAGTCCAGCAATGTAGCCAATATGCTAACTGCTGTTCCCAACCCAGCATATTTTTTCAAGCTGCTGGCTTCAGGATTGAAACCATGTAGTCAGCCATGTGACATCCAGATGCCAAAACCAGCACACAACCAGCTAGCTCCTGATCAATATATATATTTTAAAACAGTTATCTGGAAAAAACATACTAATGTTTTTATGACTAATGATAGAAAATTCAAACTGTGAAGTGAGAAAAGACTTGTACTGCCAGTTAAAATTAGGACAGTAATGACAGCTGGATATCCAAGGAGAACTAGATGAAGCTTTGTCTTCATATGAGTATGAATGAAAACAGCATTCATTCTTGCTTATCCTAAGCAAATGTTACAAGCCACAACAATACAAAGCTTATCATGAGGGGTACAGTGAATATGGGACAGAAAAAAGTTTGGAAGAATTCATATTTTTGGTGACAAAACTGAGTCAAAGATGAGTCAATCAAAAACTATATATGCATGGGGCTGCAGCTGCAGGCCTGTCTGCCCGGGACCTTCGAGCATCCCCACCCCTACTCTTCTCTAGACCTCAGGTTTGTTGCATGGGACTTTAAGATGAACTCGCACACCACCCCACCCCATCTGCAAACCGGATTAAAACGGCCAGCAGTTCCAGACACTAGGCAGCCTGCTGCTGCAGGCCCATCTCCCTGGGACCTGTTGCTCATCCTCTGGCTCTTCCCCACTTGCCTTTGGACTCTGAATTTTAGTGTTTTGAATAGTGTGCAGTGTGCATTGCACGCCACATGATTTTTTGTTTCATTTTTGTTTTGGTTTTGTTTTTGTTTTTCTTTGCTCTTGAGGTGTTGCTTATTAGGTCAGTTGGAAGCTCACCACTCCTTAGAAACAGGGAGGTCTTTGGATGACCCAGGACCAGTGGCAAAAGTTCATGGTAATGGTGATCAACAGGTAGGCCAACCATAAGAACCATAAGAGAAATCATCAATTTTCTAATCCTGTACAACTTTTAACACTCAGAGATACCTTAGATAAGTTAGGAAGCAACATATAGATTACCTGATGACTAGGAACAATCACAGAGGCTAAAGAAGTATGAGCAACCAACAAAAGGCCTCTCCCCCAAGGAAAATCATCAGACCTACATCATCCACAGTAAATACAATGGATATCGTGGACATGTCTGAAAAGGAATTCAAAATATTTGTAGTGCCCAAACTAACTGAGATGGAAGAGAAAAGAGACAAGGAGCTCCAGGAGATGAGGAAGTCCTTTCATAACTTCAAAGAAGAAATAAATACTTTAAATAAGAACCAGATGAAACTTCTATGATTGAAGAATGTGATACAGGAAATCGAAACCTCCCTTGAAAGTATTAAAAGTAGGTTAGATCAGGCAGAAGATTGAATCTCTAATGTAGAAGACAAACATCTTAGAAAAGAGTATCAAGATTCAGAAAACAACCATGAAAAATGAGGATAATATACGAGGAATACTGGATAACGTCAAGCGCCACAACATCTTCCTAGAAAAGGAAGAAAATAAAAAGAGCCTAGGTAATTTATTCCATGAAATCCTGGAAGAAAACTTTCCAAACCTAGAAAGGCATTCAAATATCCAGAACCAAGAAATACATAGGACCCCAAGTAGAATCAACCCAAGAAGATCCTCTCCAAAGCACATCATAGCCAGACTGGCAAAAACAACAAAGACAAGGTACTAAAGTTGGCAAAAGGGAAATGTCAAGTTAATTTCAAAGGTCACCCCATCAGGCTAATATTTAATCTCTCGGTGGAAACAATGCAGGCAAGGAAAGAATGGGGAAATATACTCAAAGTGTTGAATAAAAGAACAATTTCAACCAAAAATACTATACCCAGCAAGATTATCTTTCATATGGGGAAAAGGAAAAAAAAAAAAAAAAAAAAAACACGTTCTCGGGTAAACAAAATTTGGAGGAATTTACCAACTCCAGACCAGCTCTTCAAAAGGTCCTGAAGGGAGTGCTATACCAGGAAAACTAAAAAGTCAGACAGACAGTTCTACAAGAACAAAACGCAACCAAGAAAATGGCTCACTTAATGAAAGGAACAGGTACAGAAATATCAATAATTACATTGAATGGCAATGGATTAAATTCTCCAACCAAGAGATCTAGACTGGCTGAATGGATAAAAAAAAGAAACCCTCTATCTGTTGCCTACAAAAAACTCACCTTATGGATAAAGGCATACCTAGACTAAAAGTAAAGGGCTAGAAAAAGATATTCCATACAAATGGAAATCAAAAAAGGGCTGGAGTAGCGATAGTGATTTCAGACAAAAAAGATTTCAAGACAAAGACTGTAAGAAGAGACAAAGAAGGGCATTATATAATAGTAAATGGGGTAATCCAGCAAGAAGACATAATGCTTATAAGTATCTAAGCACCCAACTCAGGTGCACCTAAATACGTGAAGGAAAGACTGCTGGAGCTAAAAGGAGAGATAGAGAGAAATACTATAATTGTTGGAGATTTCAACACTCCATTATCTCCTTTAGACAGATCTTCTAGACAGAAAATAAATAGAGAGATATAGGACTTAAATGATACTATAAATCGAATGGGCTTGACAGATATCTATAGAACTTTCCACCCTACATCCACAACATATACATTTTCTTGGAGAGGTTTTTGCTATAGGGCACTTGCATCATCAGAAAGACAGAGAGAGACAGAGAGACAGAAAGTGAGAAATCACCCCTCAGGGGGGATAGCCACACCATAATCCCTTCTCCTCCATTCTCCTCTTGGGATCTTGGACACACAAGCACACACGCCCAGCCTGAATTTAAGTCACCAGGTCTGGGACTCGAACTGTGGTCGACTACATGGGAGCCCAGCAATATAGCCACTACCCTAACTGTTGGCCCCAACATATACATTTTTCTCACCCCAGCATGGAAGCTTTTCAAAGATTGATCATATGTTAGGACACAAATCAAGCCTTTACAGATTCAAAGGCATACAAACTGTATCCACATCTTCTCTGATCATGATGGAATTAAACTCAAGATTACATTCAAGAAACAACCCCGAAAATACACAAACACATGGAAACTGAACAACCTACTTTTGAATGACTTCTTCACTACTGAAGAGATAAGTCTGAAATAAAAAAATTCATGGAAACAAATGATGAAGACTATACAAGTGTCCATAATCTATGGGACACAGCAAAAGCAGTCATGAGAGGAAAATTCATAGCAATTAGTGCATATAAGAAACGGATGGAAAGATGGCAAATAGATAACTTATCATCATGGCTCAGGGAATTGGAAAAGCAATAACAAACAAACCCCCAAAATGCCAGGCAAAAAGAAATAATAAAGGTTCAAGCAAAAATATATGAAATAGAAAATAAACGAACCATACAGAAAATAAAAGAAAGCAAAAGCTAGTTCTTTGAAAAGATTAACAAGATTTACACAGCATTGGCTAGACTGATCAAGAAGAAAAAAGAAAGAAACCAGATTAATCAAATATCTGATAAAACAGGCAATATTACAACAGACACAATACAAAATATCATTAGAGGATACTATGAACGATTATATGCCAACAAACAAGATAACTTGGAGGAGATGGACAAATTCCTGGATGCATATAATCTACCAAGATTGAATTAGAAGGACATCGAGAACCTGAATAGATCCATTACAAGCCAGGAGATCGAATCAGTAATAAAGAACCTCCCGACAAAGAAAAGCTCAGGTCCAGATGGCTTCACTTCTGAATTCTACAAAACTTTTAAGGAAGAGTTAAGCTCTGTCCTACTAAAATTGTTTCTAAAGATTCAAAAGGAAGGAAGCCTTCCAAATTCATTTTATGAAGCTTCCATCATCCTCATCCCCAAAACAGATAAACACATGACAAAAAAGGAAAGCTACAGACCAATATCATTGATTAATATAGATGCAAAAATTCTCAACAAGATACTCGCAAATTGTATCCAACAACATATAACAAAGATTATTCATCACGACCAGGTAGGCTTTATCCCAGGGATGCAAGTGTGGTTCAACATATGTAAGACTAGAAATGTAATACACCACATTAACAGAAAGAAAGATAAAAACCATATGATCATTTCAATTGATGCGAAGAAAGTATTTGATAAAATACATCTTTTTATGATTAAGACCCTCAGTAAGATTGGTATAGAAGGGTCATTTCTCAACACAATAAAAGCTATCTATAAAAAACCTACAGCTAACCTTATAATGAATAGGGAAAAGCTAAAAGCTTTTCCGCTAAAAACGGGTACTAGACAAGGCTGCCCACTTTCTCCACTGCTCTTTAATATAGTACTGGAAGTCTTAGCTAATGCAATCAGAAAAGAGAATAATATAAAAGACACTTGAATAGGTGAAGAAGAGTTGAAAATATCCTTATTTCCAGATGACATGATGGTATACTTAGAAGACCCAAAGGTCTCCATGAAAAAACTTCTTGAAGTAATAAGTGAATACAGCAAAGTGGCAGGATACAAAATCAACATCCAAAAATCTATAGCGTTTCTATATATGAACAAAAAGTTGAATGAAGTAGAGCTGAAGAAAGGAATCCCTTTCACTGTAGCCACAAGATGTATAAGATACCTAGGAATAAACCTAACTAAGAAAGTCAAAAACCTTTATAAAGAAAATATGAAAATCTTTAAGAAGATATCGAAATTGACATAAAAAAGTGGAAGGACATCCCATGCTCCTGGACTGGACATGTTCCTGGACTGGAAGAATTAACATAATCAAAATGGCAATTCTACTTAAATTAATCTACATGTTTAATGCAATTCCAATCAGAATACCAGAAATATTCTTCACAGATCTAGAAAAGACAATCATAGAATTTGTCTGGTATCATAAAAGACCTCGTACTGTAAAAGCAATCCTGCGCAAAAAGAATGGAGTAGGAGGCGTATCACTCCTTGATCACAAGATATACTATACTGCTCGCTTTGGCAGCACATATACTAAAATTGGAATGATACAGAGAAGATTAGCATGGCCCCTGTGCAAGGATGACACGCAAATTTGGGAAGCCTTTCATATTAATAAAAAAAAAAGATATACTATAAATCTGTGATTATCAATACAGCATGGTATTGGCACAAAAACAGACATGTGGACCAATGGAATAGAATAGAGACTCCGGAAATAACCCCCAAAGCTTACAGCCAACTGATTTTTGACAAAGGATATCAGTCAATCCATTGGAGAAAGGAAAACCTCTTTAGTAAATGGTGCTGGAAAAACTGGGTATCCACCTGCAGAAAGATGAAAATGAACCCCCATCTTTCACCATTAACAAAAATCAACTCAAAATGGATCAAAGATCTGAACCTAAGACCTCAAACAATAAAACTACTGGTGGAAAATGCTGGGGAAACTCTGGGAGACATTGGAGTAGGCAAAGACTTCTTAAATAAGACTCCCAAA